GATCACAGAAACTTTGATAGTGTATTAAAACCAGGCTGAAAAAGTTTCGCGTTTCAGTTTGTGTGACTGTACTTCACTATACAGAATTGCAAACCTTGAACTCTAAGCGTGCAAAGCTTAATGGGAACAAAAGTTTCAAGCTTAGTCAGGGACGCCGGAACTGGGGGGCAGCCGCCCCCGTTGCCCTTTACCAGGAGGGGCAAGGGAGGCAAAGGTGCCCTTTCAATTCAAAGGATTGCCTTGGCGAAATAGCGAATTGTCAAAAATGTTAGTGCAATTCTTTTACGAATTTGTTTCAGAAAACGCAAGAAATGCAGTCATCGAGCTTCAAGAATAGCGCAATCGCCTGGCGGAGAACCCCCTCACAGCCCTATCATCCAATAAATAGAAAACATGATTAGGCGAAGTTCAAACTCCCGATGTTTTGCAAACATCTCTTAGATATATCAATTCAAAAGTGCCCTTTCACGAAAATGTGCCCCCCTTGCCTTCACATCGTTCCAGTGTCCCTGAGCTTAGTAGTTGAATATTGCAGCTATTTGTGAACGAACTGTTCTTGTAAGGAGATATTTACCATGTCTCTAAGAAATGGGCTCCATATATGCTTTCTAAACTGATTAAATGATGCTCCTATTCTGCTTTGCACGCTTAGAGTTTAAGGTTTAAGGTTTAGAGTGTAAGTTTTGCAAATGACAACCTTTTTTGAATTAGCTGTATATATAGACTCCAAAGCCAAAACGACCCGATTCATTTTTAAAAGCCGCGCCTTTTACGAGGCAAGTAAAGCCAATATCAGCTATGAGGGTGGAGTTAAGGGGTGTTACCAAAGCAATTGTATCAAGTCGTATAGTTAAGTACCACACTTTAAAAAATAGTCTGGTTAATTAAAAAATTCCTGTTAGGGACCGGTCATAAAGTAGAGGGGGGGGTGGGCTATGAAAATTGATTTTTTAAAGACTGGTTTACAGTGACCCACCCCCAAATTGTGACAATAAATTGAGGTGGCCCACCCCTAGATTAGAGCAGAAATCTTAGTGACCCCCCCCGTCATGTAGATAATGTACTGTACGGTAATGTAGATAGGTGCGCGTACGTTGGCAGCATTGGCTTACCACGATTCTTTACTAGTTTAGTCAGAATCCCCGAAAAATCTCTGAGATTGAAATGTTGTAACACGCCGCCCGACTCTTGAACATAATTCAACTATGTCCAAACATAATGCATGACAGTACATTGAGTAGACTACGGTAGCTAGAACACTTCCCAATGTACTGTATACAAATGTGAATTCCTGTTGTTTAATATATAAAGTTAATAGGTTAAAGAGATTTCGCAAAAGTTTTTATTTGCTATTTATTAAATTGTGAGACGTGAATAATTTTACCTGACTCACCCCTAATGCAGTGCATAAATTTTCCTGACCCACCCTTTTCGACGTGTTGAAAAATAGTGACCCACCCCCAATTTTTCATAGCCCCCCCCCCCTCTACTTTATGACCGGTCCCTTAATGTAAAATTAACCCTGTTTGGGTTCATTTAACATCCCAGGTTAATTTAACCACAGTCCTGGCCTATTTAACCAGAAATTCTTGGTTAACAGTCCACCTAACATAATCTGATTAATTCAACCATATAGCCTGGTAAAATAGTAACTGATGGTAATCAAATTAACCAGGACTCCTGACCAAGACTGTGCTTCAAATTAACCACGACATTTAACCACGAACATTAATTTGGTAATCGTTCCATGTTTCGCGCACCAATATAGTAAACGTTATGTAATGGATATTATAGTGTACTGAAAAGTTAACTGAATACCTCCATATACATATATACACACCCCAACCCTTAACACTAACCTCTGACCCTAATACCTAACCTCTAACCCTAACCTATATTGGTGAGCGAAACATGGAACGATAACCATTTTAATTTACCCCATTTGCACTATCAAACTTTTGAAGGATTTGTAAGAAATGTTTGAGAGAACTGACTCAGTCATTTCTCATCACAATCCTTTAAAACTCAGAATTTACCTATGCAAAATTCCTACTGTGATCACATAAACTTTGTCTTTGATAGTATAAAGCAGTCTTTACGCGGAATTATCACTGAACACAAAAAGAACAGAACCGATAAAGTCAGACAAAGCCCGTTAAAGTGTTATATATTTGTGCAATTTCCGCGATGCGTCAAACATTAAAGAGTTCTTTGTCATGTAGATTATACATGAGGAATGAAATGTAAGAGACTTGTTTTGACAGATAACCAATGAAAAATTAGAACGATCTTAATAGCTATTCTCTATGCATGATCACTACATTTGAGATGCTAATCACCAATTTTATGCATGCTTTCAACGGGGGAGTCACTTCCAGCTAGCATACATCGTTTGTTTAATTTAAACGAAAACATTTCAAAGTTTTGTTCTCCAGTAAAATGGGTGCAAGCGTGTCAAGAACCGACTTCGAATGGAGTTATACAGACGAGCCACATGCGACTCGGCGAAAGCAGATATTAAGTAAGTCACGAAATAGGTGGCATAGCCATTAGATAACATTAACCGAGGCATTGTATAAGCAAGTATGTTATTGTCAATAACATTAGTATTAAATTACTGATAAAATTGTATTTCTTTCAAAACTAGAATGTATAGGCCTACCTTTAAACTGAATTTTTGCAATAGTATAAAGCCCTAATCATAGTAAAGCTCGTGGCGTGATAATTACGGTGCAATTCAGTGTAGAATGAGCAATATGCATGCCACGAATACCGCTGTAATTGTGACAGCATAATTTGTTGTTAAAAATTAAAACTTATGTAGTGTAAAAAACGTAAATATGGATTATTATTTCTTTTGAAAGTATTGTAGTTTTTATTACATTTCACTTGATTTGCCTCTAACAGTTAATTTTATAAAATCTGCGCAACGTCAATGATGATATCATTTAACGGTTGGATAACTATATATAAGATAACGTAAAGACACGTTTGTACAACTAAACCGACAGATGAACAACGTTATAAAAATAGCTTATTTAACTTCAGAGGTATCAGGTTTCCCATCCATAGTAAGCCTATATGGGCGTAAGGAATTTAATTCATCAATTCATTGTTGGAACACAGCGTGCATCATTGCATGTTTCGTAAACATAGCTATAAAGTTTATGTAAATGATCATTGACACATTGTGCAGCCATGACCCATGATCTGCCTGCTACATGATCAACAAAAAGACCAATTCATGAACCACAGGTCACGCTTGTGGGCAAAGCTAGGTTACATGATGTTGAAAAGACAAAAACTAGTGGGTCGATTAAGCTGAATCCTACATGTCATATTTGAATTTCAACTGGGTGTGCAGTTCTAAATAATTCATGGCCACTCCATGAGTTTGCTAGTAGAGCGAACGCGGGGAAATGCTGCACGTTCTTCCACTATTTTCACTGAGGGAACGGCGTCCCCGCTGGCAAAGCTCAAACATGGGGGGACGTCAACAACACCGCACAGACAGAAGATGCTGTATATCTGAAGTACTGAAATGTTTTATCATGTCGAAACTTGGTTATTCATTCAATATATAGACACGATTTTGTAGAACTTATCATTAATTTCCTTGCTGCTGTGTCAACATCTCTGAAGTTATAATGATGATTAGCATTTCTATAGCTCAAATTTACATGTCAATATGATGAAACACGCTTTACATCGAGTATTACGCTTACCTAATTACATACTTAGCCTAGATTATTTTAACTTTACAACAATTGTGATATTACTTTCTTAACTCTGTTTATCCTAACCCACCCTGTCAACTTTCCCTGTGGGAGGAAACCAGAGCACTCGGAGAAAACCCACGCCTTTCAGTAGAGCGTTGACCGACTCTTTTCACAAGTGTGGACACGAGTCCATAGCGATCCTATCCTGTTCACCATGATTTTTTCTAACAATTCCAAATTCTTTCAAAATCTAGAAGCTCACCCAGAGATCAAGAAACTGATGGTAGTGGATCATCGCTTCAAATACCACGTCATACTCCTAGTTATCCTCCAACTTCTAGTAGTCCCCCTAATCCCCCATCTTTCGTGGACGAAATTTTTCCTTCTGCTGTATTTCTATGGCGCGGTCATAAACCACGCGGTCCTGGACGCCATCCACGAGATCTCGCACAACATGGCGTACGGTAACGCGAAACCATTCCACAACCGCCTTTTCGGGATGTTCGCAAACCTGCCCACGGCAATACCGGTCAGCGTCACTTTCAAACGTTATCATCAAGATCATCATCGTTTCCAAGGCGACAAGGATTGGGATCCAGACCTCCCAACCGAGTGGGAAGGACAATTCTTCACGAACAGCTTCACAAAGGCAATCTATGTCGGGCTTATCCCGGTATTCTATAGCCTACGACCCCTCTTCGTCAACCCAAAGAGTCCCACCATACTCGAGTTTTTAAATTATGTAACCCAACTATCGTTTGATGCTGTTGTTTATTACTTCTTCGGGATAAAACCTCTGGTCTATATGGTCCTCAGCAGTTTAATCGGCACAGGCTGGCACCCGTTAGGAGCACAGTTCATTGCAGAACACTATATGTTTCGAAAAGGCCAGGAGACGTTCTCATATTATGGTCCCTTCAATTATATCACGTTTAATGTGGGCTATCACAACGAGCATCACGACTTTCCAAACATCCCTGGATCTCTGCTTCCGAAGGTGCGCGAGATTGCGCCGGAATTTTACGACATGCCACATCACTTGTCTTGGTTGAAAGTCATCTATGATTTTGTTTTCGATCCTGAGATCAACCCGTACGCGCGCGTGAAACGTTCTATGAAACAGCGTGCGAACAATAACGCGGACACGGACAACACGCACGCAGATTAGAGCAATGTAGATTAGAACAGTTCGTTTGAAATAGACCGCACAACGAAGGATTAACAGTTAGGATATTTCACTTCAAATTAGAAGTGGACGAAAGCAGAATAAACAGAGTGATTGCTAAGAGGGACTGTGCATAGGACGCAAAGGTTTTGTTGTGAATTGCTTGTGTTGTTGCGTCACCTCTCTCGCACTATATCAGTGAGCTTGGGCAACCGGCGTTTTTCAACACGGACACAGAGTAAATACCATACAGAGGTCTCAATTCCCAGCTATAGACTAAATTTTGATCAAGGCAAGAACGAAATCCAACATATATACAAATTTTGCGAACCGGCTTCACAGGGCTATATTTTCCTCACTTTACAACAATTCGCAACCAAACGTTGCAATTTTACTCATTTTAAGATACTCTTTCCAGCTATGGTAATGGTTTCGTTCTCCTTGTCTAGATCAAAATTTCCCCGTTCCGCACGTTGTAACCAATAATGTATTGGCGTTGTAATGCCATTGTATGCAATAAAGTATTGGGTTGTAACTGAAGACAAAACCGCAAGCATTACACAAAAGTTTTAGTTATAAATCTAATTGGCTTAGCTTGGCGGATGGTGGGGAGGCGTTAGTTTACTTCCCCGGAGGGGTAGCCGGCCGTCTTTAGGGTTAGGGTGTGAGGTTAGGGCACAGAATAAGGCACACAGAAGGGCACCCTGGCCGCCATCTTCCTAGCCAGTCAATTACATTTTCTGGCCAATAAACGCGCTGTATTGGCTGGCCGCCATCTTCCTGGCCAGTCAATTGGATATTTTTGCATAGAAAAATGGTGACACGTTGCACCGCTGAGTGGCCCTTCTGGTACTGATCTTTATTCTGTGGTTAGGGTGTGGGGTTAGGGTGTGGGGTTAGGGTGTGGGGTTAGGGTGTGGGGTTAGGGGTTAGCAGGTGGGGTTAGGATTAGGGTTTGGATTAGGATTAACGTTTGGATTAATTGTAGACCCATTACAACCCAATACTTTATTGCATACAATGGCATTACAACGCCAATAAATTATTGGTTACAACGTGCGGAACGGCTGAAATTTCGTCTATAGCTACAATCTTGGCCAGAAACTATGGGACAGCTGCTGTAATTTCATATATTTTGAAAGGAATAGCGCCCCCCGTTCCCCCAGTTCAATGTTGGGCCAACAAAAATCTGACGTCTGGATGCGCGGCGCCAACATTGGAACGGGTGGGGGGAGGGAGTGTGGAAAATATGTATCAGCAAATGGTATACTATTGTCCCAATCTATATTGTCAAAGATTGTAGAATAATCCATTTCAGCGTAAGGGATTTTTCCAGTCCGCCATCATGTTCTTAGCTAGCGTCCCAAAGAGAGGCAGTCACCCCCTGAAAACATATTGAAATTTAATGTTCCAGGGGGGTGGATGCCTCTCTTTAGCGCACTTGCTAAGGCTTGCACATTGCCGCCAGACATGCGCAGTAAAAACTACCTTACGTTTTTCTCGCGAAGTGAGTCCTCTGTATGTTTAGTACTCTGTGACATGAACGTCACATGTGGTAAAAACTAATTTTGCATCATGGCGGTCGTGCAAGGAAGTAAAAAACTTTGACATATATGACATATAACATGACATCAACCTCGTTCCCAGGCTCTTTACGCTGTTATCTCCGTAGATGGATTAAGATTCTGGGATTTCGGGTTGCCATGACATATGCTAGGAGCGGAATGTGCGATGAATTTTCTAAGCCCAGCGAGTAACAAATATTTGTAGTTATGAAAGATTGTTATATTTAAACGCAAAAAAAAAATGTAAAGAAAATTACAAGAGTACAAAACTATACAGAACTGTTTCTTGTCACAAAGATACGGTGAAATACCCGAGCATAACCTGAAGCCGTTTTCTTAAAGTAAACGGTTTTTCCTCTATTACTCCTATTATTTTGGCAGACATTCCCCGTAACTCTCTTGACGTTTAACCGCGGTGATAACAACTTGTTCCAGACGTATTACCAAGAATAACAACTAGAAACAGGCAGTGCGAATGCGTCCCAAGAACGTTATAACGAAAGGCTAAATCTTGCATTCATTCACCTTTTCAATTCCGGTTGAGACTTCTTCAATTGAGACTATTCAATTTTCTAATATTCAGAATAAACACTGGGTATATATATATACATTAGTCCGTATTTGTACAACTTAATATTCAAAAACAACGTGCTCCTATTCAAAAGTAATTAAAATTACTAATCACAATCCTAATATAACAAGCGTTGCTTCGTCTATTTCTTCGATGTTAAAAACATTGCAAATATGTAAAAATAGATTAAAGATCAGGTCAAAAAACTACAAAAATATATAAAGTTAAGCTCAGAAGTGTTAAATGTTAATAAAATACGTGTGAAACAAAATGTTCATTTTGCAAACTGTTAGAGCCCCTACTTGGAGCAATTTATCACCATGACACCCCCAAACAAAGCACAAAAACAGTATTACAATTAACTTTTGCACCTGTGCAGCTTGCTTGTTTGGTATTGTTGCGGACTTAACGAAAGAGACAAGAGATTATAACCGTATTGTGTTGTATTCACGCGCGTTTGAGAAAAACGCTAACGTTTTTGGAGCAGAGAATTAGAATTTTGAGCTCAAAGTGTTGAGGTAAGTGGCCCTGACATGAAAATTACGAGTGGTTAACAAAGTTAGCTAATATACGCCTACATTATGCATGGAGAATAGACTCGTTACATCAAGCGGAAAGCATCTTGCGCGCGAAGCTGGCTCGAACTAAATAACTCATTCCTGTACATTAGACACGTTCATAATATCGAATAAAATCATCTGGCGTTTGATGGAGTGCAGTATCAAATCAATATGTGATCGATACATGAAAAGAGTCGAGATAGTCTGAACAACTATATAAGTAACTCTCTCCCATCCGAGGACTTTCCAACGGACAAGCTAATATATAGTCTGTCAAATAAAACTTGCATGATCAAACATAAATTGTAAAGGTATACAGGTATTATAGTAGTACATCAAATCTATTTAGTACACAAAGTAACTTTTCGACTTTTCTACAAATATAAAACATTAAATGAAATAAGCTTGGCAAAACATGCCGAACAATATTTAAAAGATTATTGAAGGATAAACATATTAAGATTCAAATAGATATGGCAAAATTTGTGGAAAACCTTCACAACATCATTGTTTAAAACTAAGCTGATGCCAGCCTGATGTAATATACTGTATGATAATTTAAAAACACTTGCCACCAGAAAATGAATTTTACGCTAGCTGAAGAATAAATATTTAATAAGCTGTTCACAAAAGCTGTTGCCGTGGGACGCAGACAGTTTGTAATTGGTTATTTGTAGAGAAGTGAAAATATCTTTTTTAAAGTTAACCGCATGATCTCTCAAACGACGAAGCGTAAAAATGGGTCTATCACTCCCAAACAATGAAACCGCGTGTTGGCAGGTAATACGGATATAAACAACGGGAGCTTATTCTAGAATACTACCTACACTGGACCACCACGTTTGAGATATCTTTTTCAGGTATAGCTCAGAGCCTCAGACACAAACCACGACAGTTTATTGTAGAATACTACCTACACTGGACCACCACGTTTGATAGATCTTTTTCAGGTAGTTCAGACACAAACCACGACAGCTTATTGTAGAATACTACCTACAATGAACCACCATGTTTGAGATATCTTTTTCAGGTAGTTCAGACACAAACCACGGTAGCTTATTGTAGAATACTATACCTACACTGGACCACCACGTTTGAGATATCTTTTTCAGATAGTTCAGACACAAACCACGACAGCTTATTGTAGAATACTACCTACACTGGACCACCACGTTTGAGATATCTTTTTCAGGTAGTTCAGGCTTATTGTAGAATACTATTCCCAAATTGTTCTTCATTTCATAGGGTAAGAATGGATATTGAGGATAATAATGGACAAAGACACAGTCCACCAAAATTACCCCCGAAGTCTAGGTTTAACGACCAGGAGTCTACGGCGGTACTCAGACTTTTAGTTAAACAAGAAAAACTGTTGAAAAATAAAGAAGACAACCCAGCTTTGAAGCGAACACCTGAGAAATCTACGAGACATTTACCTCCAGTGACTCCAGATCTCGGGGAGGGAGGGGGACAAAACATGGGGACACAGGAGGAACTGGCGCATTATAGACATCTACCAGCCTGCATTTCAAGTGAAAGGCCTGCTTCTGCAGGTGGAATATATCAAAGTGCAAAGTTGGCAAGAGCTAAAGAGAGGCCTAAAGGTTCTTATGGACGTCGCCAGCAGCAACAACAACAGCAGCAACAGCAACAACAACAGCAGCAACAGCAACAGCAGCAACAGCAACAACAACAACAGCAGCAACAACAACAGCAACAACAACAAACAGAAACCACGTCAAGATCACAAAGCAGGAGGCTGAAAGAACGTGAAAGATCGTTTTCTTACGAAGAGACTATTTCAAATTTAAACGAACACACACTAAAATTGAACGTGAAAACACCTATATCACGCACGCGTAGTTGCCCTGTTAATTACGAAACACATATTCCTCCAATTTCTCAGAACAAAAATTCAATGCGTTGGATTAATTCCAGTTCAACGAACTCTGTTAGCAAATTCAACCTTAAAAGCGGACAGTTTTAGAACTAACAACTGTATTTTTATATTTCAGCGTTGTTAAATAAACAAACATATACTGAGCAAAAAATATCTGAGCAAAAATATAGAACATTGGCAATCAATGGATGGGTTTCACAAGCACTATCGTGCTGGCTATTGTAGTCAAGCTACAGCTGTAATTCTTTTAATTAACAATTAGTCGCCAAAGGCGAGGAATCACCGAGCCTGAGGCGACTAATTGTTTTAGTATACAGTCGAACCCCTATAAGCGGACACCCCTCTTTAACGGACGCGGACACCTTACTTGAGGTCCCAATGGACAAATCAACCTCTTTTAGGCGGACAGATGACGGACTGTCTAATAAAATTTTTCAATATTCGACAGTGGGCCTAAATACAATTGAGATCAATTTACATGACATGTTAAGGTTTAGTTTCTATAGATAAATATATTAGACTAATCTAATTTAATCTTCGAGGTTCAATTTTTCTTTTTTAATTTGTCTTTTAGCAGCTGCAAGAGAAACTATATCCTTGAAACGTAAACTAACAAGGGAGTTCGACGCCACAACCAGTCCCTCTGTTGACACATGCACGTTTACCCTAGCTTGATTATTACTGTTCCTGAATTGGTTGCGCGTTTCAAAAATGTTGTTACCCACCCCGCCATCAATTTATTTCAGTTAACTAAGTGTATGTACCAACAACTTCCATATCATTTGTAATTTCATTCCGATGAACGAAAGACTTCATCTGCGTCTTTTCTTCTGTAATCTCGTAGATCTCGCAGAAGCGCTTGAGCTTTGCCTTTTACGAACAATAGCAACCGCGTTCGAAATGAACTTTTATGCTAATTATTTGCTAGATATTTTTTACAGTTTTGATACTCAAATTACACACCCAAATTTTCCTCCTGCTGTTTTTCTGCAAACCCCTTTTAAGCGGACACCCCTTTTAAGCGGACACTTAGGCGAGGTCCCGAAGGTGTCCGCTTAATAGGGGTTCGACTGTAATTTCAGTACTGAAAATGTTTTATTTATAAATACAACTAATTAGTCTTGTACACAAGTAAAAATCCGACAGCTTGTCAAGAAGATGTGTTCGCACTGCTTGTTCCCAGTTGTTGACAAGTCTGGAACAAGTTGTTATCATCTTGTAACAAGGTTGGCGAGGCCAACAGACTCGCAACAAGTTGTTCCAACAAGTCTGATATCGTCTGCACGTAACAAGTTGTTCACGAGTTGATGACAACAAGCTCGTAGCAACTTGTTACAAACAGTCTGTATTAGGCCCGTTTCAGACGGCGTACTTCTCATGCGCCGAACTTAATTGATGAATTAGGTACGGCAGAAGAGCGACGTATGAATCAATTAAGTACGGCAGAATTTGGAGCGGCAAAAGTTCGACACAAGTTCGGCAGAGCTTGTCGCATTATGCGACGTTGGAGCGACATTGATTCATACGCCGCTCCACTCATGTGCCAAACTTAATTCAACTTTAGTCTAAAAATAAACTTATTTATTCTGAATTTTATTGAGGTTTCGCTGGCGAATGCGCCCCAACCTTGTCAATAACATAGTATTTGGTACGCCGTTTGAATCACTGCCGTTCTTGTGTCGCATCTAATACAATTAAGTTCGGCACATGAAGAGTACGCCGTCTGAAACGGGCCTTAGTCTTGTTGGAACAACTTGTAGCAAGTCTGTTACCGTCATCAACCTTGTAACAAGATGATAACTTGTTCCAGACTTGTCACAACAGCTGGGAACAAGCAGTGCGAACACATCCTGATATCGACTTCACAACAACCTTGTTACAACTGGTTTGCGGATCTGTAACAAGTTGTGATTTTACGTATGTATTTGATGGCAAAGATGTAGTTTGATTATTTTGACGAGCTCGGTTGCCCCGTAATGCTTTCTGAAAACACATAGACATCATAAAATAGAATCTTAAGGGCTGCTCATACGAGTCGGGCCAGCTGGGCTAGCAGAAATGTTACGAAATTATTTTCCTTACCAGGGCTCTCGAAGTAGAAACAAATATGGTCTGCCAGTCTAAATTTTTTTGGCAGGTGAAATAAATTTTAGCCTGCCATTTTTATTCATTGAACTGTCAAAATGGCGATGTCTCATACGAGTCATATTGTAAAAATCAATATTTTCATGATATGCTTTTTTATTTTTTTTTAACTTGTCTATTTTACTATTTTTTATTTCTATTTTTTTTTCTTTTCTATTTTTTATTATTTTCATGATTTAAAAAAAAATCTGTCATAGCAAAAAAAATTATTACGAATTTTCACATTTTCCTATCTTGAAAAATCACGAAAATAATTCAAAATACCAATAGAAATCATTTTATGAAATATAAAAAATGGGAGTCACAGACGTTTTTTTCGAGTTAAATTACTTTAAACAGAAAATATCCGTCATGTTGTGACATCATTGTTGCCATAGCAACGGCAGTTAGGAGTACTTTTTTAAAAATTCCGAACTCCTTAGTTATTGTGTTATACGAGTCAAATACTCTTTGTTTTTAAACAAATAATAATTCTCCAGAAATTCATATCCAAATAATGAAAATCGTTAATTTTTAGAAAAGTGTAGCGAGCCACCTTAAGCAAGCGACGTTCAGTTGTCAACACGAAAATTTGTGTAACTAATTTTGGCGACATTTTGCCTCATAAGCGCTCGGGCAAGGAAGCAAAAAAATGTATGTCTTGTCATATATGTTGAAGATTACCACAAACCGATACAAACAGTCCCCCTCGACAATCTGACTCCGTGTTTTCTGAGAAAAACGTCGCTTGTTTAAGCTGGCTATTAAACAAATCATCCCACGATTAACCGGTCCAGCCCAGCTTCGTATACATGAACAGTCCCAAATGTAATTTAATTTAATTTATTTGTTTGCCAAGTGAAACCGACGCGTTATTTTGGGTAGAAAATTGGTTTCAATAACTCTCATTACTATTTCGTTAATATACGTTTGAGTGGGTAGTTTATTTTCCAATTTTAATCAAATATATCCTTGCCGATGTAAGACTCACAGAAAACATGATATCCGGAAGATTACAAAATTAATAATTCATCCAAACATTAAATAAACTCTCACTGTTGAACCAAAAGGGAAGATTTTTAGGGAATTTTCCATGTACTGTCAAATAGTTTAAATACGCTTCATGAACATAGACAGTCATAGATATTTATTTTTCAATAAAATTAATGAAAATAAAAATAAACTTGGGAATACAATACAGCATTGGCAGGTGTCTTGCAGGTGGCTCATATTCCCAATGACATTTTAAAACAAATAGCGCATTTCATTGGGCACTGCATGTAGTGAATCTTATTGGGGGGCTTCATGTAGAGCCTTAACAAGATATTTTGGCAGAGGAATTATTACAAAGCGTTAAGATGGCGACTAAAGACGTTCAACCTCTGCCGGCAAATAAACGGAAACCAATGCCACGACATTTTAGTGCAGACGACAATGTTCACGAATTGCTGGCTTTGTTGCGAAATCAAGAAGAGAGCCCGGACAAGGCGCTTTTAAACGACACGAAATGTTTGTTGTCCTTGTCGTTGGATAGAAACACAATGCCGCCATTGCCTTCCATAAAGTCAAAGACAACTACAAGACAAGGCACTGAAGAGCGAGGGAAAGCAGACAAAACAAACACAACGTCAACGGCTGAAGAAGGGAGTTTTGAAACGACTACTCCGAGTGATGATGAAGTATCCGATGCAACACAGTCGCCGACATTTGCAGCAGTGTCCAACACGAATACAAAAATGCGTTTACCTTCGCTCGGTTCTAGAGAGGAAGCCGGTACTACCGGCATTTCCAAAACCGCACCACAACCTCGTAAAACGTAGGACTACGAAGATGGAAAATATATACATGCAAAATCTATATAATACATGGAAAATGTATAACAAAGGATTATAGCTTGTATATTCTTAAGACTAAAGTATAAACATCGAAAGTGTAGAAAGTATGGCTTTTGCATGTGCGGGTCTAGAGACAAAGCACGTACTACAACTAGCAAAAACACAATATCTTAAATGTAGGATAAAGGTTGCATATATAACAATGGATTATAGGGTATATATTATTAAGAATAAAGGATTTAAAACTAAAGTTTGTTCGTTCACGGCAAGCAGGAATAATATCATTCATGTTTTCGCTCGCTGTATACTCTGGTTCATATATAAATGAATACAAAGCCCAGTCGAATTGTAATCACGACCCAATTAAAATTCCAACTGGGCTTTGCATTTATAGTATATATAGCGAGCGAAAACATGATTTAAGACTAAATTTTGATGTCTGTTGTTAGTAGTGAATGCACACCGTTTATAGCTTTACCAAATTTTCATTTATGTAAGAAACTTTGGTCATACGTTGTGGCAAAAATCAAAATTGCAGTCACACTGATAAAGATCGCGCTTTACAGATGAAAGCTTTGTAATAATAAATACCCGTAGTATGTTCCAGAAAATAAAACAATTAGCGTAAATTGGCCAAACAGTAGAGCAATATTGCGTCGCGCATGCGCAGTGAACACTACTGTACAATATAAGGAAATGATATATGCGTTCCAACAACGACAACATTAATAAATGACTGTTCGAGAAATATTACATTTAATGAGCAATGATAATGAGTACAAAAGTCGAACAAAAGTTTCCGCGGCTCCCACATGCGTTAGGTGTGTTAATCTTTGTATAAATGTCTGGCACTACAGGAACACGACTGAGGTAGACTCGTGTGGAAAAGCTCGTTGTTGTTATGGCAACGACAATTTTTGATTGGGTCTTGCATGAAGAAAGACCCTGAAATGTACTGAACTTTAAAAGAACTGGAATGCGAATAGATTAGTGTTTATACTGGATAGGTCTACCTGTTCTCCCAGTGAGAGTCATCTCTTATTGATCCAGTGTTACTACCTAAACTAACTTTAATTTAAAAATGAAAATTAAAGCCAATGACTTTCAGACAAGACATAACAAAAATATATAATTTATTGGCTAACGTTTCGTTGTATTGTTCGCAACATCTTTATTTATACTGGATAGCTCTATCTGTTCTGAACTGTTCTTCCTAGAGATCCAGTGAGAATCATCTCTTATTGATCCAGTGTTACTACAGGAGGAAATCTAAACTAAACTAACTTTATTTATACTGGATAACTCTATCAGTTCTAAACTGTTCTCCCCTAGAGGTCCAGTAAGAATCATCTCTTATTGATCCAGTGTTACTACAGAAAGAAACCTAAACTAAACTAACTTTATTTATACTGGATAGCTGTATCAGTTCTAAACTGTTCTTCCTAGAAGTCCGGTGAGGATCATCTCTTATTGATCCAGTGTTACTACAGGAAGAAACATAAACTAAACCGCTAACTTTATTTATACTGGATAGCTCTATCAGTTCTAAACTGTTCTTCCTAGAGGTCCAGTAAGGATCTTCTCTTATTGATCCAGTGTTACTACAGGAGGAAACCGAAACTAAACTAACTTTATTTATACTAGATAGCTCTAACTGTTCCCGAGCAGCTGGTCCTGGTTAGATCTAAATTCACATCTATGTCTAAATTATATATAATCGTCTGCTCGGAATTTGCATCTACAAAAGCCCTCAAGTGTTATATTTACCCACACTACAGGAGGAAACTAGAGTACTTATAGAGTACACCTGTAGTGTTTGGTAGAGTCAAACTGGAAGCACTCTTCTCACATGTGACTGAGATGAAATTATATTCGGACAACTGGCATCGGCAACTATTAAATGCCTTTGGCCCTCTTTCGACCGTAATTTGTTATTTTATGACATGTAATATATTATGTCTACCAATTAACTTAATTAACATGCATAACGTTTAAAATTATTCAATTCATTGGCAGGTGGCCCATAAGAAATAAAAAAACTCATTTCAAACAAAATGGAATATAACAAGACACATTCATTGCTGAAAGGCGAATCACTTTCGTGATAAATTGAACTTCATTGATGAATTTCACAATGTGAGGACATTCTCAGTGACGTCGCGTATAAATACGACGTCCTGGGTACGAAATATTTTAAGCCGAAAATGGTGAATTTTTCGGTGTTTTTTCAATATAGTTGAGAGCTTGCTCGCAGGCTATATAGTTGTGTGGACAGAGCAATACGACATGTCCCACTCAGCTGAGGTAATCCAACCCAAGTAATAGACAATTCCAGTTATATAGACTATTTTTTTATATAGACAAGAAAGACGAAATCTGTCATTATAGCTCAAAAAACCATCCTAAAAGTAAAATTGCAAAGTTTGGTTGCGAAATGTTGTAAAATACGAAAAATATAGCCCTGTGAAATTAGCAAACTTTGCGGAGTATTTTAGTATTACGCGTGGTAAAAATAACCACTTTCGACTCAAAAGTGGTTATTTTTACCGCGCGTAATACTAAAATACTCAAAGTTTGCTAATTTCACAGGGCTATATTTTTCGTATTTTACAACATTTCGCAACCAAACTTTGCAATTTTTCTAATTTTAGGATGCTCTTTCCAGCTATGATAGATTTCGTCTTTCTTATCTAGATAAAAAAATTAGTCGATAGCTGGATCATCCATTTGGATTATATTATTTTTCATTAACATGGACAGACCGCTCAAATTAAACGTTTGCGCTTTGGACCAGTCTGACCGGAAAGATTTGGATCAATTTGAAGGAAGTTCTTTTTCGAGAAACCGGAGTCAAATCTGCCATTAATTACTTCCCATTTAATATAGAGACAGAAATCTGGTCTGACTACTAAATGGAAAGCGCTCAAAGTCTCCATTTCACACGAGACGGAACGAACATGGAACTCTAACTGCGCGTGAATTCGTTCCGTTCCGTCCATCTCAGAAGTCAGTGCTTCCATGTAAATGCCAAATCTTTAAAATTCGAGAGCGTTTCAAATTCATTCGCATTTCTTCACATCACAGCCGCAAAACAAACTACAGTTCGGTATGTTAATGACCTCGACGCACTACGCAATTTCATTGTGAACAAAATTCATTAACGCCAAAACAATAAATAATGAGGGGCAATAAATATTAAACAGTTTTAAAAGGAGGCGTTCGAAACCACAGACCGTAATGCGTGTAACCTTGGCGATCTTAATTACCAGTACACATCCCAAAACACCGCAACGATATTTTGTTATAGAAAACCTTTTCATTTCGCAGCTATTTTAAGAGGAATATAACGCAGTTTTATGGCGAATGGAAAGTTTTGGTTGGTGTCGCGAGATTAAGGGTGTTAATCTGAAAAGAGAAGCGCGTCTGGGATAGCTTATCCTACAGTAATTAACAGATAAAGTGGCAATATTTAATATTCCATGTTTACTTGTGGACTACCAAGATCGTCGAGAAATTACCGAAATTATTTCACTTAAAAGTCTTACAGAAAAGGGATTATCTTTGAGGTTTTAACAGAACTGTGACGCCGTACAACACCGCTTTTTTGTAGTTCTAACTTGGAGTTCTCGTGAGGGTTTACAATTAAACTTAATCAACATAAAATGGAAACAAATTTTGCTGTAGAGAAGGATGATCTGGCCAAAGCGAAACGAGATTTATTGCTACGGTTTATCAAAGATCAAGAACAACTTCAAACCAGTCAAGTTGGGCTTAAAGCGAGCAACAATGATGAAACGTTCGACATACTTGATGGCATAGCGGTCTCTGAAGATTGTTCAAACAATGTCGGCATTGAGCCTAATAACGCGACTCATAAACTAAATGAACATAGCAAAGCCGGCTTAGATGAATGGCAAAACATCCCACGAAGCCAAACGTGTATTCCAAAATTTAGAACTATCAAGGAAGACTCTTCCTTGGTTGAATTAAAAGAAGACAAGCTCCATTACAGAATAAAAAGTGGTAAAAAGCCACTAGAGAGAACTATTCCTAACGAAAGGCCATCTACTGAAGGTTCCTTGCGAAGACTTAGGTCGGCTCCGACATTCACTGGCAGACAGTCCAGGAACATACTCCGTTCAGGAGATATTGAGGTTAAGACGAGGAAGGTTTCTTCACTTAGTATCGTTGTTCCAAAAGAAGGCGACATTGATAAATTAACAAGACGGAGGGCTTCACTAACTTGCACCCAGGTGTCACGGCCCCGAGCAACTGTAGGCATTTCTGCGGTGGATGTGGAATTATTTGATAAACACACTGTGCCGTCTATCGCTGGACCCTACACCATGTTCCATTTACCGCCCATTGCTTCAGAGAGTGCACAAACACCACCGTCTACGTAGCAATAGATACAATTTTATTTGTATACTCGCTTCAGTAAGTGTTACAAAGCAATGTTGTCACTTGAGGTTTACACTACCAAAGTTTCTGTGATCACAGTAGGAATTCTGCACAGGTAAGTTTTAAAGGATTCGCAAGAAATGTTTGAGGGAACTAAGACTTAAACACTAAGTCTGTTTCCTCAAATATTTCTTACAAATCCTTCAAAACTTAGAATTTGCCGATCCAAAATTTCTGCTGTGATCACAGGAACTCTGACAGTGTAAGCAAGGCTATGGGAGCAACAGAGTTCAACTAATTATCTCGATTCGTTATTAGACTGCAGATAAACGACGTTTGTATATAATGAAAAGAATTAATATTATTTTCCATCTCCGACCACAGCCAGTTGGCTGCATTATACTGTTCAGACAAATCCATCTATTTTTACTAGCTTAATTTCATGGAGGAACTTTCGTTGATAATTACAATAAATACAGTTTTGTGTGTTTTGAGAATCAATTATATTCAGAATGGATTCTGTTTCTTTCTTGCATCATAAAATTTCATCAATAATTATACTATACAAGGAATCGCTTGTATAGCTCTAATGAAGAGGAAAATGTTATGCCTTGTGGTTTACTCACTTTATAAGTAAGTGATCGTTTTCTTGGAGCACTAACTATTTGTGTTAACTGTTAAACCTGGTTCATACTATACCAAAGTTTCTGTGACCACAGTTAGAATTTTGCAAGTTTTGAAGGATTTGTAAGAAATGTTTGAGGGATTAAACCAGGGCGCGATAAACGCCCTGATTAAACATTGAGTGAGTTCCCTCAAATTACAAACCCTTCAAAACTTAGAATTTACCCATGCAAAATTCCTACTGTGATCACAGAAACTTTGATAGTGTAAATAGGGCTTTATAATACAAGTATACGTGGTAGATTCTCGCTGGGGTAAAAATTGAGAAACAAAAGTAGATATGAGAATAGTAGAATGAGATTATCTTTATTCCAGATGAGACCCATTCACAACTTATATTTTAAGTTTAGGCTAGCGAGAACCTCCCGTAAATTACTGATATTTATGGACCTGACATTGCCAACTAAAATATTGTTAATTTAAACGCGGGGATCCAGTGCAGTGGTCCTGTGTAGGAGGTGCCCCCCCCCCCCCCC